TAGAGAGAATTATCATAACAACAATATCAGCGTTTGCTACGTAGTGAAGAAGGTTAAATTAGATAAAAAGGATTTCAAATATTCGGAAGAGAGGAAACAATGGGGACTGTTGGAGAATCACAATGAGATTGAGCCTAATCTGACCGGAAGAAAATAACAGAACAATATCAAAGATAAGAGTGATCACTATCTACGTCTCACCTAGCCANTAGAATCGGATTACGAAAGCTAGATCAAAACAATCATCGGATTTGAGTCTTAGACTTGTGTGCCACTAAAAACCACTTTTGTATATTTTAAAGAAAGAACAAAAATTTCTATAGTGTTCCACATTTGCATGACTAAGAACAAAAAAATTAAGAAAATTAACAATATATACAATTTTGTCAAAAGAATAACAAAAAGAAATAACATAAATAGAAATATTTTAACTAGATTAGATAATTATAAGATGTTAAACCTTTGTTTTTATTCTACATGACTCAACATTGATCGATTAACCAAACTTAATCAAAGAGATTGTTTGACCAAACAAAAAAAAAAAAAATCAAAGAGATTTTATTTAATATAGGATTTCCAGGCCAAATTTGGATAAAGTAGATTCTTACTCATGTACCAATTTTGTTATATGTTTTATGTATGATCCAGTCGAAGTTGACAAAGAAGACAATCATCGGATTAGAGTCATAAATTTGTGTTCCACTACAAACCACCTTTTGTATATTTTCATAGAAGTAAATATTTTTTTTTTTCATATTGTTGACAAAAAAAAAAAGTAAATATATTTTTTAAGTTCCACATGAAAATGACTCATAATGACTCAATTAAGGACAATATTAGTCGAGTAAGATAATAACACGAAGCTACAAAAGCTATACCAAAATGGATAAATCGTCTCTTAAACGCGTTTGGGGAAGTTAAAGAAGTAAATTGAAATTTTAAATACTACAAATGGTGTATAAATGCAGGAGTAAACCAATCATACATAAGAAAATACTAACGAACAGAAAAATACAATCAGTTCTAAATTGGACTAAAAATATATTTCAGAAAGTAAAAACAAAATAATAAAGTTGGTGGTTAAAAATAGCATTTAAAAAATGGTCATAAAATGATGCAATTCAACATTACATTGAAAAGAAAAGCAATGCACACATATTCGATTATGACTCGCTACGCAACTCACCAAAAAAGCATACCATAAATCGATTATAAATAGAGATAAGAGAGTCATTACAACAATCACATACATTAATATTTTCTTAGAAATATTCAATTATCAAAAGAGAGAAAAATGGGGTCAACTTGGTTTGCATGGCAATCAATTGAGAGCCAACTGCTGATCACACAAGAAGCCAGAGACAACAGGTACAAGTTTATTCGACCTTGATTAATGATTATTTATCATAATCATCATTAACTACAAGAATGCTAATTTGGTTTAAACATGTGATTAACTAAAGGGTGCTTATGCCGGCTGCTTGGTGGGTTGAAAATGATGAAACAAAAGACATAATCGGAGATAGAGATGAGAAAACTGGAGGGACATGGTTTGGTTGTTCAAAGCAAGGCCGAGTTGCGTTTCTTGTCGATGTAACACCTTCTAGCCATCCCGGAGCCGAGTTGCTTACTGTTAAGTTCTTGAAGGTATATATATGCTTACTTAATTACTCTTTTAATACTCTTTTAATTACGACCTTACTTGAACAGGAAAAAAATACTCTGTTTTTATTTAGAAAAGCTAGTAATTTGGTTCTGACGATGGATATGTTTAATACAGGGCAAAATGACTCCAAAAGAGTTTGCAAAGGAGCTTGATATCGACAAAAATCTGTCTTTGGGACTTACTTTTTACTTTGTTGTGGCTGACATACATTCGCAATCAATAGTCTACATCTCTAAAAAGTCTCAAAATAAGGAAGTCGATGAGATTAGAGATATTGCTCGTGGTTTTTATTACATTGACTCAACCGGAATCTATGATCTCTCATCCCCTCTGGTCAAATTATAATCCCTCTAACATAACATGTTTTAGTGCTCCATATACACTTATAATATGTTTGGAGGTTTTGTTTACAGAATAAACTTCTGGAAGACAAGTACAATGAAGTATTCACGAAATACAAAAACAGAGGATTATCGATGAAGGCTGGCGAGTTGATGAGTGATGATCAAGTCATGGTACGTGAAGGTAAAGGAGAATGTGGTACTAGCAAAACTGTAAGAAGTTGAAAAGGCTCATTATTCACATTCATCTACATTAGTTGATATTTTGGACTCTTCATCTACTTTCTTTCACTCTTTCTGTATTTAGGGTCAAAAGGGATTCAATGAAGCATCAACAATGTTGGAGGTGAAGCACACTGGGAAAGCAAATTTCTATGAGATATACTTCGAGAATAATAAACGTATAGACCGTCAGTTCAATTTCGACATCGAGTAGTTAGAATGAACCGTGTGACGATGATCGATATGATTATTAGTATCATTAATATCTATAAATAATCTTGTTGAAGCTGATAAGCTGTTATAGGGATCTCAACCTTGTCGATTCATGGAAATTTATTTCCTTGGTCGATAATATAGTTATCTAGTCTAAGATGATCGTGGTTCAATAATAATAAAAATGAAATAGTTGGTTTTTCTTATCCATTCCCATTACTTAATATTCCTTGTTCTACCGTGAACGTCTTTGTCAAAAGCACTAATGAGTAAATGACTAATGAGCAAGTTGATCCCATTCCACTTGTGTAATGACTCAAGTTTCTCTTTGTTCCTAAACTCTAAACACACTTTTCTTGGTCCCTAAACAAGACTTAACCACGCTTTGGTCTCGATAATATATTTACTCAAAGGAGATCATAGTTAAGAGAATATTCAACTTAGATAAAAAAAAAGGATTTTAAAATCAAACAATGNGAAGCGAAAATGGGGAATGTTGGAGAATAACATATCGA